GTGACGAGGAAGGTTAGGGCCCTACTGGTTATATACATAAAACAAGGTAAAACATTATGAAATATGACAGTATAATTAAAGCACAAACAATTAATAGAGAATAAAATCACAGGAAGAATGTAACTCAGTACACAGAGATAGTAACAGGGGGATCTCCTAGGATATCGTTCCGTAGTCCCAACGTAAAAGTGTAGAGGATCTCCCGGAAAACCAATCCTTAGTCCCAAAGTAAATATCCAGTACAGGGGAATCTCTCGGGTATCTTCCCGTCGTCCCAAATATAAACGTGCAGGGGAGATCTCCCGGAATACCGATCCATAGTCCCAAAGTAAACATGCAGGGGGGAACTTCCGGAATATCGTCTCGTAGTCCCAAAGTAAACAAACAACAATATCAAGCAAGAATCTACAGTCATATTCATGAATAAACAGGAATTATACTCTAAACATGCTGTCAGTTAAAGCAAGTAAGACAATTAGAACACATAAGCATGCTTTTCCAAAGCTAAACAAGAGGCTTCAAGTACAAGTATTGCTCAATTACAAGAAAAACACAGATATTTACTTAATAAAAATGGGGTTTCTCAACAATGAACACGTGTACGCACTCGTCACCTCACGTACACGGCACTCATATAACAACAACACCAAAATCCTAAGGGGATTTCCCCCACACAAGGTTAGGCAAGCCACTTACCTCGAACCAGCTCAAAATCAATCCAAAATCATGCTCTTGCCACGAGTATCCAACTCTGGGTGGCCTAAATCTAACAAATTAATATCATAACGAAAATAAAACTACAAACAACTAATTTAGCTAATGAAATCGAAGCTAAGGCAAGAAAATAGAAAAATACCCAAAAATCCTTCCCGGGCCCATGTCTCGAAATGGGGTAAAAGTTACGGATTATGAATTCTCATTCACTCACGAGTTCACGTACCAAATATATCCAAATCCGATGTCAAAATCCCAATCAAAACTCGAAATCTTAGTTGAAGAACTCTTTTCCATTTTTCCCAATTTTCACCCAAATCCGAAATTAAATGATAAAATTAATGATAGACTAGGGGGATATAACCAAAATCAAGTGTAGAATCATTACCCAATTGATATCTCTGAAAATCCCTCAAACTCTCGTCCAAATTCGAGCTCCCAAACTCTAGTTTTGATAAAAATGGCTAACCCTCGATTTTGAAACTTTATAATCTGCCTAGGTAAATCCTTCTTCGCGAACGCGAAAGGCCCTTTGCATTCGCGAAGCACAACTTGACTTGGCCCAGAATTCCTTCATCACGAACGCGATGACCCTGTCGCGAATGCGATGACCCTGTCGCGAATGCGATAGCCACTCTCTCTACGCAAACGCGGAACCCAATTCGCGAACGCGTAGGCATATAACCTCTCAGCTTCGCGAATGCGGGACCAACATCGCGAACGTGAAGCATTAAATTTCCACCTTCCCCAGCTCCTCTTCGCGAAGCGAGACCCCACTCGCGAACGCGAAGAAATAAACCAGAGCTGAAGACTTCAGCAATTTCTGCAATCTTCTTCTTAAGTCTAAAGGTCCGTTAACCACCCGAAATCAGCCCGAGGCCCTCGGAACCTCAACCAAACATACCAACAAGTCCTAAAATACCATATGAACTTAGTCAAGCCCTCAAATCGCATCAAACAATGCTAAAAATACAAATCACCCTCCAATCCAAACTTAATAAACTTGAAACTTCCAAATTCGACAACCGATGCCGAAACCAACCAAACCTCCTCCGATTGACCCCAAATTTTGCAGACAAGTCATATTCAACACTACAGACCTATTCCAACTTTCGGAATCGGATTCCGACATCAAAATTTCACTATCGATCCGGAAACTTCAAAAATTCAACATTCGGCATTTCAAGCCTAAATAAGCTACGGACCTCCAAAACACAATCTGAACACGCTCCTAAGCCCGAAATCACTCAACGGAGCTAACGGAATTGACATAATTCCATTTCGAGGTTGTTTTTACACTGCTCCAACTACGTTCTAAATTCTAAAGCTTAAACTCTCATTTAGGGACTAAGTGTCCCAAAACACTCCGAAACTCAAAACGAATCATCCCAACAAATTAAAATAGCAAAAACAAATACAGGGGAAGCAGTAAATAGGGGGTCGGGACATAAATTTTCAAAACAACCGACTAGGTCGTTACACTTTAATCCCAACATAATTAGATAATTAGAAGCGTATTTTTTCTAAAAATTTAGATGCAGCTATAAAATAGTAATACAGTAAAACATCACCTAGCTGTGTCCAACTGCAAGTCATGGCCAAATGGTAGAAATTGTCTTTCGCCACTTTGGTAAAAAAAAATATAAAGATTGTCAAGAACATTATGATACACACTCAAGAATTAGCTTTACTAGTTAGTAAACTTATAAAAATCTAATTTTAAGAACTTAAAATTCAACTCTTACTATATCATATTATCATGATTGATTATGCTGTAAAACAGATTTTCTTTATATAAACTAAAAAAAGGACGCTTATTTTTGTCTGGTATATGTACACTTCTTCAACATATTTCCATATAGTATAAATATAAATAAGACATAAATTTCAGTATAAGATATGCATGTATTAGTTACACAAATTTTTAATAGAAAACTAAACATTTTGTTAGTGATTCTGATTTGGCCTTTGTATGGGTCAAAATCTGACCAAGGGAATCTTGCCTGAGAGAGGATTATTAAGAGCCGATTAGGCCGAGATCGTTCTCAAGATGGAAGGAACCTATTGGCGAGCTGAGCAGCTAGGGTCGAGGTCGAGTACTCAGATCAGCCCAAACGGCTAGTTTAGTAGTAAGATACTTTAGGGGAATATTCCACAGAATATTCTCTACACTTGTACTTTCAGTTAGATAAGGGATATGTCCCATATTAAGGGGAATATGTAATATTCTATTTGATAAGTTCTCTCATGAAAAGTCGACTCTCAAGTAAATTACAAACATTGTCTTTAAAAAAAGATTCAATTTGTTGTTGATTCCACACTTTCTCGCATGAGATCCGAGAAAGCTTTCTATATTCCCACGTTTGTTTGTCTTACATCATTGTCAGAGGGAGAATCACCCACCTCATTGAATATTTGGGTAAATCATTCTCTCTATTTATTTTTATTGCCATTTAATATATTTATTGCTTATCATTACTCCCACATACATTCAAAATAATACCAGTAAACACCTCTTTGCATTAAATTTATTTAAGTGCAATTATACGTTGTTCATATCAACCGATTTCAGATCTAGGATTTATTATGTTTAACTAGGATTTACCCATTATCTTCTTATTTAATTAGTTTAACAAAAAGGCTTAACACGTTTTGGTCAAATAATTTGGCGCTGTCTATGGAGATTTTCTAGTTAAAATTTTAGTTCCTTCTAGATCTGAAAAAAAACACACACAAAACTTTGCAAAAACCCCGTATTTCCTTATTTTCACAAATCTGACATGGCAGACAACGGAGAGAAAAAGAGGAAGGCGATAGCCAACCTCACCACCAACCTCCTCCACAACATTAACGAAGTGGACAAAATATAGGGCGAAGATATAACACCAAAGCGAAACAGCTCGCCTCCATCTCTCGGTAGCATCACGACCTCACACGGTAAGGGTGCCTTTACATCCACAACAGAAGAGGAACCACCAGTAGTAAAAAAATCTACTTGAGGCATGGTTCACAAACACGCTAACTGGCTTTCTCGACAAGCCCGCTCGGAGGTCAAGTAGAGAAGAGACAAGGGTCGGTGTCGCATCGGCAGGTGACGAGTAGTACCTCCCCCCCTCCCCGCAACAAGTATTACTCACAATGCTAGTGATGCAGGTAATGACACCCTCACAACCATTTTGAGGAAAATGGAGGATATGGATAACGAGAACAAAATGCTCCGTAGTCAAATGAAAGAGCACCAAGAGAGGGTAGACAAAATACCGGGTGCCCCAAAACTTCTCCCAAAAAGGGACGCCGGTTGATTTGTTAAGCAACCATATAACGACGAGGCTTCACTGCACACCATACAAAAGACTTTCAAAATACCGTCGTACTTAAAAATATACAATAGCACAACGGACCCAGAGGATCATGTGACCCACTATGTCACTGCAGTAAAAAGGCAATGACCTCGCCAAAGAACAAGTATTCATCCATATTACTGAAGAAGTTTAGAGAAACCCTAACCGGGGGAGCACTGACTTGGTACTCACAGTTACCTGCGCATTCCATAGAAACGTTCGAGGAAATGGCGGACAAGTTCGTCACCACCCATGCCGAGGCCAAGAAAGTAGAGATGAGGGTGAACGACATATTCGCCATTAAGCAATCTCCTAGCGAAGGACTCAGGGACTTCCTTACCTGGTTCAACCGTGTAAGAATGACCCTTCAAAATGTATCTGAGGGGATGGCGGTAGCCGTTCCAGAATGGGCTAAGGAGAAGTGGTTCGAGGGCGACCAAAAAGTTGCTAAGCCGACTCATGAAATACCCTCCAACCACTTGGGACGAGATACACAACACCTACTGTGCCGAGGTAAGAGTCGACGAGGACGATCTCAACTAACCTACCCAACGTTTGACCTCAGTCCAAATGGAGTCTAGGAAGGACCGAAGAAACGACAGCAGGAGAGTTCTAGCGGGATCCCGACCTAATCGAGAGAGACATCAGCCTTACGTCAGAGGCACCCTCATGCCACCTCCACGCCACGAAGAAGGTCTAACTAGGCCGCGAATGGGAATCCACCAAAATGAGAGAGGTATGCCCCCTTTATTGTCTGCTCACAATTTTTGTGTTTCCCCCTCAGAAATAGTTTACACACTGGAGAAGCTCGGCCCAAAAGTGAAGTGGCCACAAAAGATGAGATTCGACCCAAGTACCAGAAAGTCAAATACCCTCTGCGAATTCCACCAAGAGTAGGGTCATAAAACCGAGGACTATATCGCCCTAAGAGAGGAGGTCGTGAACATGCTTCACCAAGGGCACTTGAAAGAATTGATGAGCGATCGTGGGAGAGCCAACTTCACCGGAGGGCGGGAACAACACCAGGGACCGCCCAAACCACCTTTCCCAGCTTGGACCATTCAAATGATCATTGGAGGAGGTGACGACACATCTATCAATAACTTGAAGTTCACCACCACCCACAAACTCAAACAGTCCATCACTCGCGAACGGTATGACAAACTCGAAGAAAGTATCATCTTTGATAAGTCAGATACCCACGGTTTGGTCCTTCCTCACTATGACGCTCTTGTCACTACTTTACGCATCTTTGATATTGATGTAAAATGTATTATGGTCGATGACAGGAGTGGTGCGTGCATCATCTACCTTCGAGTTCTCACCCAAATGAAGCTCGAGGACAAGATAGTGTTGCGTTGCATCACGCTAACAGGTTTTAACAATGCAGTTGAGCAGACATCTGGAGAAATCACGCTGCCTGTCCTGGCCGGCAGCGTCACTTTGGAGACCACGTTCCACATCATGGACCAGGATACGTCGTACAATGCCATCATAGGCCGACCTTGGATACATGCCATGAAAGCCGTCCCCTCAAGCTTATATCAAGTCATCAAATTTCCTACCCTTGGGGAGTATTCAGCATCCGAGGAGAGAAACGTACAACCCAAGAATGCTACTGCATCGCCCAAGACTGCACATGCACCTAACAACTAAAAGGAAAGGCCGAGGAGGCATAGCAACTAACGAAGTCGGGGTCAGATGGAGATGAGGGGAAAGATGTCGTCAGAGACCTCAAAATCGTAGAAGCTCAACCGTAGAGGACCTCGACCCCGTCCAATTAGACGATAACGACCACAACAAGAAAGCTTTCATCGGCCATAAGCTCCAAGATCCAGGTAAATTTCGCCAATTCTTAAAAAGTAACGTAGACATATTTGCTTTTTCCCATGCAGACATGCTAGGTATCCTGAAGGAGATAGCAACTCACAAGTTGAACGTCGACCCATTTTACCCCTAGTGAGGCAAATTAGATGGAAGTTCAACTCTGCAATAAATGATGCGGTCTGTGAAGAGGTTGAAAAATTGTTAGAAAACGGTTCTATCAGAGAGTCGTAGTACCCTCAGTGGGTCGCCAACATGGTCGTGGTGAAAAAGAACAACGGAAAGTGGCGGATGTGCATAGACTTCACAGATCTGAACAAAGCTTGCTCAAAAGACTCATTCCCACTACCCCATATTGACCAACTTATCGATGCTATAGCCGGGCACGAACTGCTAAGCTTCTTGGACGCCTACTCGGGCTACAACCAAATCCTCATGGAGGAGGAGGACCAGGAAAAAACCACTTTCATCACCCACCTAAACCACTTTCATCACCCACCAGGGGACATACTACTATAGCGTTTTCGGGTTGAAAAATTTAGGGGCAACATATCAGAGGCTAGTGACCAAAATATTCAAAGATCAACTCGGCAAGACCATGAAAATATATATAGACGACATGTTGGTCAAGTCAAAATGGAAGGAAGACCACATCGACAGTTTGAGAGAAGCCTTCGATATACTCAGAAGGTACGGTATGAAATTGAACCATTTGAGGGAAGCCTTCGATATACTCAGAAGGTATGGTATGAAACTGAACCGCGAAAAATGTGCCTTCGGCGTAACCTCCGAAAACTTCCTCAGATTTTTGGTATCGCAACGAGGCATCGAGGTCAACCCCGACCAAATCAAGGCCATAGACAGAATCCCAGAAAACTTAACCAGCAAGAAACAGGTGCAGAAGTTGACCGACCATATAGCCGCCCTGTCAAGATTCATCTCACGATCCTCCGATAGGTGCCACAAATTTTTTGGCATACTCAAAAAAGATAACGGACTCCAACGGAATGCCGAGTGCGTCGATTCCTTAAAAGAACTAAAGGCCTACCTATCTTCGCCCCCGCTACTGGCTAAGGTAGAACTCGAGGAGTGTCTCCTTATCTACCTGGCAATGTCTGATGTCGGAGTAAGTGCAGTCCTGGTATGAGAAAATAAAGGTACACAGTCTCCAATCTACTACATTAGCAAAACTTTGGTCGACACTAAAACGAGGTACCCCCACCTCGAGAAGCTAGCTCTGGCCTTGGTCGTAGCTTCACGAAATCTTAGACCTTATTTCCAATGCCACCCCATCTCGATGGTCACGACTTTTCCTCTAAGGAATATCCTGCACAAACTTGAACTGTCGGGCAGATTGGCCAAGTGGTCCATAGAGCTGAGCGAGCAAATATAACCTATCAGCCGCGAACGACGATAAAGTTGCAAGTACTTGACGACTTTGTCTCCGACTTTACTGTGAAGATAATGCCCGATGTCGAAAGGGACACCGCCAGTACTTCTACCAAAATGTGCGACCAATGGGTTCTATACATAGATGGTGCTTCTAACGCATCAGGATCTGGACTGGGACTCGTGCTCGAGGTCCCAACAGGCGAAATAGTTTGTCAGTCCATACGGTGCCCTGATATGACTAACAATGAGGCCGTGATTGCAGGGTTAAAATTGGCACTCAAGTACGGAGCACGGCGAGTAGTCCTGCGATACGACTCACAACTCATCATCAACCAAATCATAGGGACTTTCCAAATAAAGTAGAAACGACTACAGAAATACCAGGCCAAAATTTGCAAACTGTTACCCTAGTTCGATGAATGCCAGCTCGATCAAATATCCCGAGCGCAGAACATCAAAGTGGATGGCCTCGCCAAAATAGCAGCGGCCACCAAAAGCATAGACGGAGAAGGGAACGTGGTCACCCTCCTCCATTCATCGATCGATCAAATCGAGGTACGAATTATAAACTTGACTTGGGACTGACGCAATCGTATTATCTAATATTTGCAGGACGGGGTGCTCTCACCCGATAAAAAAGAAGCCAAGAAGCTTCGAATGCAAGCAGCCAGGTACAACGTCATCAATAATGACTTGTACAAAAGAACGTATGGTGGTCCCCTATCAAAGTGCTTAGGACCAAATCAAACGCGGTGCGTCCTCAAAGAAGTACACGAAGGTCACTGCGGAGCTCATACCGGCAATCGAGCTCTCATCATATGCCTCATACGAGCGGGCTACTATTGGCCCACGATAAAAAAAGAGGCTGTCGACTTCGTAAGAAAATGCGAGCAATGCCAAAAATATGCCCCCATGATTCACCAAGTTGGCGACACCTCCACTCAGCCACCTCACCTTGGCCTTTCATGTAATGGGGAATGGACATCGTCGGACCCCTCCTAGCGGGACGAGGTAATGTATGATTTCTTTTAGTTTTAACTGACTATTTTTCTTAGTGGGTAAAAGCAGGTGCATTCACCTAAATACGCGAGCAAGAAGTGGTCACATTCATATGGAGGAACATCATATGCCGCTTCGGCATCCCCAAAAAAAATAAGTTATGACAACGAGCCCTAGTTCACTAGGAAAAAGATCGCCGAGTTCATTGAAAAATGGCACATTAAAAGAATACTCTCCACGCCATATCACCCCGCGGGCAACGGTCAGGCGGAGTCCTCCAACAAATCAATATTGAACATTATGAAAAAGAAGCTCGAGAATGCCAAGGGACTATGGACGGAATTGCTGCCAAAAGGGCTATGGGCATACCGTGCAACGCCGAAAACAAGCATATGAGAAACACCATATTCGCTAGTCTATGGGACTGATGCAGTAATACCGATCGAGGTCGGAGAACCAAGCCTGAGATATTCACACGAGAGCGGACCGGTTAATGACGAAAGCATGAGGCAAGATCTCGATGAGGTCGGAGAGCAAAAAGATATGGCTTACATAAGGATGGTCGCTCAACAACAACAAGTGGAGCAATATTACAACAAAAAAGCCAAGATCAGACCACTCAAAATAAGGGACTACGTACTCAAAGCCAAAACACAGGCGAGCAAGGACCCATGAGATGGAAAACTAGGGACTAATTGAGACAACCCATATAAGATTATGGCACCAGTAAGCAAATGGTCATTCCAACTAGAAACAATGGAGGGGAAGTTATTGCCAACCAATTAGAATGTCGCCCACCTCAAGTACTTTAACTTCTAAGAAAAGGTGTTCTCCGGGCTGTACTCTTTTTCCCTCACCTGAGTTTTGTCCCAACTGGGTTTTCTCAGGGAGGTTTTTAACGAGGCGAAAAGGGGGAAATCTCGAAGTTTAAGGCTTGAGCAGGATAGATTGCAAGTTAACAAGTTCATTGTCCGACCCCTCGAATACTTCTCCAGGCCGAACAATAAAGGGAATAGATAGACTGGGCCTAGAATATCAACCCGAAAAGCATGTAAACTTCGATATATATATATATATGAAAGCAAAGCATACAAACACATGATGTTCGAATCAAGTTTTTACTCTGCGCAACATTCAACTTCGTTCGAATCAACTAAGAGTCAACATTTGACCTCGCTCGAATTGACTCACATTCGACCTTGTTCGAATCAACTAGGAGTCAATATTCGACCTCGCTCGAATCGACTCACATTCGACCTCGTTTGAATTAACTAACATTCGACCTCGTTTGAATTAACTAACATTCGACCTCGTTTGAATTAACTCACATTCGACCTTGCTCGAATTGACTCACATTCGACCTCGCTCGAATTAACTCGCATTTGACCTTGTTCGAATCAACTAAGAGTCAACATTCGACCTTGCTCGATTCAACTCACATTCGACCTTGTTCGAATTCATATTCGATCACACTTGATTTCAACTCATGCTTAACCTGACTTAAGTTCGATTTACAACTTCGTTTGAATTAAGTACGACATGGGACTTCACCCAAATTCAACCAAAGATATACTCGACCATGATCAAAATAGCATGTACCAACACAACTCTTCCGAAGAAAAACATTCGAAGAAAAGTAGAAGGGCCCAAGAACATATAGCAAAAAGTTATGATCAGTCCATTCCAAAAAATAAAATATATTACAAAGGGCCAGAAAGACGCCCCCACAAAAAAAAGAAAACAAAAACTAAGTACAAAAGCATCACACCACATTGCCACGTCTTCGCCACCGCCACCTTCACCGCCTGGTCTAGCAGCGCCATCTCTATCATCGCCCCCGCCATCGGGATACTCATCGCCATACCAAACATCAGATGCAAGCCCGTCTAAGTCCTCTCCACCATCACCGGTCCCCGGTGTGTGGATCATAACCGCAGGCAATCCTAGCGTCATGCGCCTTAGCACGGGCATCTTCAAAATCGCCTCAGAAACCTTCCCCACCATCATCAAATTCCTATATATGTCCAGCTGAGCTTCAGAGTGGATCCACATCTCATATAAATGCCGAGGAACGTTGGGGAAAGCAGAAGTATGAGAGGAGGACGGTCGAGCCAATAGCCGCACCTTCTCGGCCTCAAGAGTAGCAACTTGATCAAGAGTAGCAACTCGAGACATCTCTCTCGAGCTCACTAATTCACTTGTCAAGTCGTGCCTCCCTTAACGCAACTGTTTTCGCATCATTTTCATGTTCAGACCTGAGGACGCGAATGGCGTCCTCGCTACCTTTGCCAAAGCCTCAACTCTGGCCTCCTCGGTCCCCTCCAACTCTGCCACTTTCTCGATCATCTCACCACTTAGGCCGGCAACTCTGATCAAGCTTTGCTCAAGATTGGCTTGCGGGGTCGCCACTTGCGCTTGAAGGTCGATGCACTCGGCCACGA